GTTCTGCCATGATAACACTTAGAAGAGAGAAGATATCTAATATCACTCAAGACAAATAGAAGAGAGGACTTGCGGACAAAGAAAATACTAAAGACAATATCAGTTGAGAAGAGGGTAATCCGCAACTTCTAATACGCTTATATCTTATCAAGTAAAAGAGGTAATCCACTCTTAATCAAGATTAGACAAAGCTTTGATATTGTAGGTGTACTCTTGTCAATCTGTCAAGGACAAGAACTCGATGAAAAAACAATTCAGACAAGTGAGCCTTCACTCAAAGAGAGGTAACAAAATATATATAAACAAGTATATATATTGAAAGAGGAACTGGAATGGCTATTGCCAAAAGACAAGAAAACTAGAGACCCTTGAAACTAGACTAGAAGCAAGAAAGAAGTTGACAAAAGTGAAGAAGCCTTCACTCTTGTCTCTATATATATTCTCTAATTAGGGGCTACGTGGCAACGTTTTATAGGACCTCCAATATGTGTTGACTTTGTAGGGCACATGCCTTGACTTACAAGGCAAGTTTTTCTAAGTGTGGGCCACATAGTTAGCTTGATCTTCAAGCTAACAACATGTGTGGCACATGGCTAACTTGTTGACCACGTTTCTAATCCAAAAAGTCAATTAAAGACACCTATGAAGTCAAAACAGTGTCTAGAAAGCTTTTAGGAACCTTCCATATCAAATACTATAGAATTAACTTACTTTTACGTACTTTTACTTACTTCTACCTATTTCTATATGTAATTATTAGCTTACATGATTATGGCCATGACAATGAGACACTATCAATAACTAAGAGGACTTATTAATTACTTTTAAAGGAAATAAAGATTAGAATATATGACAAATATAATTTATTATATCTTGAACTTCTTCAACATGAGATCATTGCTCCTTATGATATTTGTCCTTAAAAGAGGAAGTAATGTTACAAACATCCATATTTACTCTAATAACTACTTAAATAATATAAATAGATAGAAATATATAAAAGTAAATTTTTTTTTATAATATCTTGTAGATAAACTTCTTAGAAGCTTTATAGATGTCATTTCACCTTTGTATGTGTCTATAATTGATAGATAGATTGAAAATTTGTCCAATAAGTTGTCCATGTGTTGTACAAGTTGAACATGTAATATAAGTTGAATATGTGGTACAAATATAGGAAGCTTATCTTGCAAGTTAAACACATGCCTTACAAATTGAATACATGTTAAATATCCTATAGAATGTTGCCACATAGCTTCTAATTAATTAGTATATATAGAAGTAAGAGTGAAGTCTTCTTCACTCTTGTCAATTTTTTTCTTGCTTCTAGTTTAGTGCTAAGGGTCTTTAGTTTTACTATCTTTTGGCAATAGCCATTCCGGTTTCTTTTTGGATATATATATATATATACTTATTTCTTTTTTTTTCATCATTCTTTAAAAAATATTTGACTTTTTTATTTGTATTTATTAAATTCTTGTCCTTGATATTAAGTTGGCCATATAGCAAACACATTGAAAACTTACTTTACAAGTTGGATATGTATCTTGGAAGTTAGACACATATAAGATGACCTAGAGGATGTTACTATATAGCTCTTTAGTTAGATAATATATATAAAGGCAAAAATGAGGCCTTCTTCACTCTTATCAATGCCTTTCTTGTATTCTTGTTTCAACTTAAGAATCTCTAGTTTTTTTGTATTTGACAATAAGCATTCTAATTTCTATCTCATAAATATCTTTGATTTGTCTTATTTCTATTTTTGAATACTACAAGAATATATTGCTTCTTCAAAGTTTTGTTATGATTCATGTCTTTAACAATGGAAGACATATAATGTATCTTTCTTGGTATTATTTAATATGCTTACAATAATAGTTAGTAGATAAGTAATACATTTGTAGTAGCTTAAGTTAATATATATAAAATTACAAGCAATTATATTTTTAAAAACACCACTATATAATAGAAAATAAAATCAAGGCTATAATTTTATTTAATTAAATTTTATTAGATTAAAAAACCCATATAAGATACTGAAATTATTTGAACATGAAAAATATTATATTTTATTTTATATAAAATGGTCTTAAATACAATGTAAATAAAAGATGTAATATTAAATATATTTTATAATAATTTGCAATAGCTATAGTTAATAGTAACCATATAAGATTGATTTTGGATCTATAAAAAATTATTTTAGTCCTAAAAAGAAGTATACTTGTGGAATTAATGTATATAAATTTTCAAACTTGGATATGTATTAGTAATAATAGAAAATAAGCATAAAATTTTAGAATATTTATAACATTATATATTTAAATGTATATGATTTGAGATTTATTTTAGATATGAAATATTTTTTTTTAATATTTTAATTGAATATTGCTAGTGATGTTTTTTAAAGAAGAATATCTAAGTTAATAAATAAAATACTTTATGGCATGTAATTAAGAAGCTTTAAAAATTATTTTCGGATAATTTCTAAATTCAAGGATGTCTCTTGAAGGTAGTTGAATAAATAGTGGATTATAGAGAGGTATGTGGTTATAAATTTGTAATAATTTCTTTAGAAAAATAAAATTAATAAAATATTGTTAGATTAGAAAGTTAAATATTATATAATTTATCTATATCATAATAAAATATTATAAATAAATTTACTTTAAAGCCCTAAGATTTAGAAATATTATTTTAATCAATAATATTTAATTATGAAATCATTTTTTTATGTTTTTTTTTATTTAAAATTTAAAATAATCTATAAAATTAAATTAATAAATATACATACCATAAGTTTATATTGTAATTAATTATTAGAATTTAATAATAATTAATCACTTTAACAAGAAACTATAATTCAAATCAATATAACAATCAATAATTTTTAACATTCTTAAATTATATCAAATTCTATACTTGCAAAGTTTGATTTCATTCCTTTCTTTAACATGTTGAAAGACCTCTTTGGCTCATGTATAAAGAATTAAAAATATACCTAATATAGCTAGATCAATCAATAGGTGAAGATATTTTACTAGAGAGTACAATGATATTATTATAGATAATAAAACGGTTTTGAGTTTTTAACTTAGATATATGTAAGTCTTAAGGACTTCAAGATCAAAAAAAAATTAAATTTAAGTCTTCTAAAACTTTGAATAAATTTTTATTTAAATATTTTACATCTCTTTAATTAGATTTTAATATAAAGACTTGTTAAATCTCTACATCATAATTTAATAAGCTTGCAATTCTTACTCTTTTTTCTTTTCTAGGACTTATGTAGATTTTGCCATCATCATTGCTATCATACCATCATCTTGCTATCTTCATAATTGGCCACACTATTTTCTACTCTATAATAGAATTAATTAAATATATAGTAGTATAGGCTATGATCACCTATATTATCTATGTATTTTTTTTTTCTAAAAGACTACTATTAGCTTGGCCATTAGAAGGCCTAAAATAAGTCCTTCTATCAAGATTTATATCCTTTCTTGTATTTAGAGCTAATAGAAGTCTTAGGTCTTCATGAATCTATGAAATAAGTTTCATTTAGTTGGATTTTTGCAAGATAATATTTTCTTGTGCAAACATACCACCAACTTTCTTGCTAATTTTTACTCTATCTATGTATTACCATCTTAGTTTTTTCAAACTTATATTCAACATGTTATGAATTATTTTTATTAAATAAACTTTTATAAAAGTAAAAAATATTTACAAAGTACAAAAATTAAGGATAGTTTCAAACATTTTGAATAAAGTTGTTCAATTTCAAAGTCACATTTTGCAAACTTAAACAAATAAATCTTTAATTTTTTAAAAAATATTTGTTCAAATCTTCAATTTTTGTTTATTGAACTATGAACTAATTTGAGTCTTGATTAGGTCTTTGCAAACATTATAGATTCATGGTAATTCCAAAAAATAAAAATAAAAATAAAAATAAATTATAAATATTTAATATATTTATGAATAAATTATGAATATATATAGATATATATATATTTTAGTATTTTGTGTTATTTGTTTCAAATTGAGGTATTGCTATCATACTTGCCTATTTGCATTTATATCACAAGTTTGTTTTATCTTGCATTAATATTATATTATGATAAAGCATAGGTTTTTCCTAAAAATTATTTAAAAGAAAAGTTTATAATTCTATCAACTACTTTGAATGTAAATTATAAATAAATAAACAAATAAAAATATTTTTGTAAAACTTTGAAGATTTTATAAATATCTATGATTCTAGGTGGAGTTGGATTGTGCCTTGCCTATCTACTAAATTATCAGATAACAAGATGTTGCCTTCACAATTATAGACATCCATTCACGGCATAAAACTTTTCTCAAAGACTTTGGAATTGAACAAGCAAAAACTTGGAAGTAGGAGCTTGAGGAGCATCGATGTCAAACTGGGCAGTCATGATCTTACTGTGGCGTCATGTATTCTACCCTGGTTGTTCAATCATGAGAGTAGAAAGTGAGAATAGAAAGTCTTGATGAACTTCCTCTGTTCTCCCAACTTCAAGGTGGCACATCGTCCCCTCCGAAATGTGAACATCCATCACAAAGTTCATCTTTTCAATGTCACCTGCTCACTGAGATGAATATTGATTACAATCCAAGACGATGCTTTCCTGAATGGAGACAGATGCTGACGAAGAATGCTCTGTCCACAGATGTGCTCAGTAGATGAATAGAAATACACGAGTGCTCGAACAGAATTGTAGCATATGGTGAATAGTTATGTTTATTTGTACCAGCTCAAATTAGTCACACTTAACACAACAAAAAGCCGGAGTTCCTGGTACTACATATTGCATCCTATCTGCAAATCTGGACTCGCTTAGGAATGTGCAGATCAGAGTGGAGGCGTGTACCTTTTAACATCGACATCAAAACTGAGCAATCTGGCGCTAAATTGTTCGTACACTTTACAAACATATGATCCATCTCGATAAAAGAACTCATTTACATATTATCCGGTTGTCAACTGGGCTAATCTTTCACAACTCAAGTGAAGGACTGCCCAAGTGTTTATTACTTCGATACGGTTACAAGATGTCACAATGCTTACTCGTAAGTACGAATAGCAGAACTATATGTCCTCATGAGTATCTATCAGATGACCATTTGACTCGTATACAAGGTGGATACATCAAGGTGAATTTTTCAATCGGCAGAATTTCCGGTCATCTGTCTCCAACGCTGTAAACATTGATGCTGCAATCATTTGATGCAGTAGCAAAGCTAGCAGCACGCCCGTTTGCATGGCAGGTCAAAGACAGGCAGTTAATGGAGTCTGTGTGGTCTCGTAAAGGGGAGTAATCCAAGAACTCAGTCGCCAACTCCGTCGTTTTCGACGTGCTACCACTGGAAGGAAAGATATGTGGCCAGAAAAACAAAGATCCATCCGCACTGCAGCAACATAAGACAAGCATGAGAATCCAAGATAGCTTGTCAGGCACCTAACACATGATTGACAGAAGAAAGTTGTAAACAGACCGAGGGATGGTTCAGAAGTGGTATGACCTTCCAGCGATGATCAAATCTCCGGCAATCTCACAGCATCGCAAAGAGCTCTTAAACTCCTTACTAGCCAGCACAGCACCCGACCGCCTTGTCTGATTCAACACCAATGTTAAACATGCACTATTGAAAAGCACATAGAAAACTTATTTCCCTTGGAATGAACTATAAAATAGTGCCTAAGTTGTATACAAAACAGTAACAGAGCTACAGAAAATTTAGATCCACTGATGCAGACCAGTGAAAAGAAGGTTCATAAACTATTCATCTTTGAAATTTGCATTTTCCCCACGCATACAGAAATTGCGGATTGATTTTGGTTCATTTGTTTTGTTTTGGTTTGTAATGGATAGTTTGGATTCCATACCTCAAGCACACGCAATGAACCGTCGGTTGATGCCGCAACTACTTGATTGACATCATCAGTAAGACGTAATCCTGTGGCAGATCCACCACCACTACACCGCCAAACAGAAGAGGTAGGGTTCCTCAAGTCCCAAGCAAGAATTGTGCCTGCAATTTCATACTCATTTATAGTTTAAACAAGTATTTACGTCTGTGCTCCAATACTGCCACGGCAAAATGAGGTCTAATTGCCCATCATGCTAGAGTGATAGGTTGGAGAAAAGGGCGAATACGACAACAAAAACACGAATTCAAAACCAAGTCCAAGGATGCAGGTAATAATTTTGATAATCTAATTAAGTTACCACGTAAAGCACACTTGCAAGGCACAAATAGAATATGCACTTTGGCTCTTGACGAATACACGAAGACACGTAGACAGAATTAACAAGTCAGCCGGAGCAACCTATGGTATGCTCGGTCTTCAAACTATTTCAAACCTGAAATATAGCGCATCTTTTAAGAACCAAATGATTAATAACAACTTGAGGTCTTCTTTTCCAGCAAAGCAAAAATAAAAATCACAGTAGCGGGAGACGTCATACCATCTTCAGCACCAGAAATTGCGAAGTTTCCTTCAGGCTGGACATCGAGAGACCATACTGCACTATCGTGCTCCAAAAACTCAGCCTCAGGTGCTGCTAGAACAAACAATGCGTCAGCAAGGAATGTAATAGGAAGAAGAACAGATCGACGTGGATCATTCGCAACTACTCACAATGCCAAAAACTTCAACATCACTGGCCGTAACCCCTAATGTTCGCTAACTGAGCTGTAAAACCAAGTAGAGAGGGTTGCAATCAGAATTCGGACAAGGCAAAGCTGGGACAAAACATTCTCTTTTGTCAACGTTTCTGTTGAAAACAAGTTTCTCTATTCAGGAAGCCTTCATGAATTTGTAATAATTACCACCTCACTGCTTACAAAGTCATCACCAAGTCCTGTCAATCAACTTCAAGTCTTTGGAGAAGAGGCACTGCCACTCAAATATCACATAATCATCACCTGCAGTGCCCGCAGCCCAGCTCCCTCGACCTTCACCGATTGACCAGAGTTTCAATGTAGAATCCCACGAGGCAGTCAGCATTCGCTCGCTACTGCTGCTTGACATTCGCACACAAGACACTGTCTCATCATGCACTCTCATCTGTCAAAACACCAAATATCTCGTAAAATTCAAGTCGATGGGAGCTTCAAGAAAGTAGTGCTCTTCTAGTCGTTCATAGCAACTCTACACAGCGAAATGACCATACAACTAACATATTGATAAGGCATGCAGTCAAAGCAAGTTTCAGTGTTGACAAGGACCAATGAAGGTAGCAAAGTTCACGATTCACTTTGCAATAGGGTGGATTGTAATAGCACTTAAAAGAAGGCCTGTTCATTGCAAATATTTATGCTAAGAAAATGGCAGTAGCGCAAAATTGTGAAGGTTCACCTTGCTAAGAGCTCGCCCATAGTCTACTGAATACACATAGACGAAATCATCATAGGATCCAGCTAACACAGTCTGCAACAATCAAAATACAATGTTATTGTCGTTTATTTCACTTGACAAGTTACTAGTGAATGCTTCTGTTTAATTTATTTCGAATATATATATATATATCTATATATATATATATATATATATATATATATATATATATATATATAAGACCGAGATAGAAATATGAAATATGCCCTACTTAATCTGTTCTTAATTCACTCGACTATTGCCCATGAGGGCTTCATCCATACTTAAGCGATAATCGAAGCTTTTTCCTATAAAGTTTCAACCTCCAGCAGCAACTCCTAAAGGCTACATATTAATTACTAAAAAGAACTGAAAAATAGATACTTAAGGAAAGCATTGATAACACCTAGCTATGCCAGTTGTCTTGCTTCACATCTCTTAAGTAGCAGTTCTATGTTGATGAAAGAAATATGTGACGAAGTACTAACCGGGTAGGCGTCTGAGCTCTTTGCTAGAGCTAGGCATGAGAGTGGCAAAGTTCCAAGCTTTGTTGCTCGGACCTGAAAACCCTCGGAGATCGAATAGACCTGTTGTCGCACACAACACTGTTGGTGCAAGGTAATGAAATCAAGCAGGCCATATGGATATTTATTGGAGAGCTTCAGCCGAACACACCACAAATATGCTACTGGTAGACAAATAAGTTTAAGCGTAAATTAAACAAGCACTACAGAGTAGCACATGAATAACACTAAGCAATACAACTCAAATTTGTGGCATCGTCGGAAGGTGGCCTCCAAAGTTCACCTTTATGAACCCATCCTTGTCGACAGAGTACATAGTTACAGATCCTGAAGCATTTTCTTCTGAGAGGACACATCCATTCACAGGGCTCCGGTGCAATTTTAGACATTGGGGTTCAGAAAGCCTCTGACGAAACATGGAATGCCATGCCATTGTTTCATCAACATTTTCTACATTTTGAAGAACCACACCAGCTTCCGGATAACGCCTTTCTGGTTCAGTATCCTCCAAATTGTCACGCTCGTGACCAACTCTGGTCTCAGTGCTGTTCCGGCGCAATTTACTCGGCAACTGAATCACTACATTTTTAACTACATCAAATGGGTCTTCGGATAGAGCGAAATCTGAACCAGAAGATGAAACTGCAGAATCAATACGCCAATCTGAAACATCTTCAGATTTTCTCCCATCGCTTTCCGCATACTCATCATCGTGATGTCTACCCATGGGACTGTCTTCTGTGTCACTGTCGCTAGTCATGAAATGTGCTTTATTTTTCAAAATTCCGGCTGGGACGGGTGTTCCAGACCTCAACTTTCTGGGAGGCGTCACAAGTGTTGCTTTGGTTGTAAGCTCATCAGAAGGAATCTGAAATTTGATAGAAGAGGCAGAAACAAGGGGAGTCACAGTACCAACATTATCTGATGAAGAGGAGGCAAGAGCCATGATGCGTGACACGAACTCCATACTCAGACCACGAAAACCTTCTGACTTGGCACTATAGTTCGAAAGGGTGTCACTGTTAACAACCATTGCCGTTCTTTTCAGTAACCTGGAAGGATGAGGACTAGTGAAGAGCTGTCTTGGTGCCTGACCAAACTCGTTAATCTGTTCACATGAAAAATCGTACACGTAAAATGTTAAATAAAGGTCACGTGATCAACTCACACAAAATTCATGGAGCAATGTGAAAGAGTTGAAAATTATTTCCATGAAAAAAATTAGCACTGGAAGCTATAAATGGAACCAAAAAGACTGATTTTGGAGAACTAGAGGTCAGAGAATAATCCCATAAAAACTCGAGCGGTACGCAACATTCCTAAAGACAAGTACTGTCAAAAAGAAAGAGTTCCTGGCATTCAGCTGAAGCATCTCAAGATCACCCTCAAAAAAGCAGCTACATAAGATTAAAAATCATTACAAGCAAGAGTCCTCCAAAATCTATTGATATCTGTTATCCATTGTCTGATTCATCTCGACTGCTGCACCATCATAGGATGCACCCATTTGTCAGTCTTAAAGGAAATTCCCACGACTGAGAAGGGGCAAGAAAATATGATCCGTGATACCTGAGCCTCGAGCCCTGCACGCTCAACTGGATCGTCAATGCTATCCAGATCAACTACTCCTTCATACGTTAGAGGATGATACAGGTTGTTTGCAGCCAAAGCAGCCTGCAAGCAATAATTTAGTACTTATCACCGGTGAGAAGCTTAATATGTAACAAGGTAAGGATGTAGTTGAAACAGCTTTGCATGAAAATACAGAAAAAATAAGCATGATAGCAGAAACCAGACGACATAGAATAGAACAGTAGTACAACTAAGATCCGTAATCATTATACTAAGTCCGTACAAAGGAAGAAACATGTTGAGCTCTCAAACCTCTCCTCGTTGTTTGTAACCAAAAATCAAATCTATCCAAGAATGTAGCCGCATCGATACATGCTGACTCTCCAATGCTTGCCGATTCTTAGAAATAAAATCATCAGGATCATTCGCCCTGAAAGTGATTTGTCCCAAAGTAAGCTCCAAAACTCAGCAAAAGTTGACCCAATCATGTATCTTTAGATACCTTAAGTACTATGAAATACTTGCAAGGGAAAGGTTCTCATGAACACAAATTTGCAACTTATTCCTGCTTTATGAAGTGAAAGGAGAGAATTTTACCAAGGGGGCAACTTGACATCACCCACAGGCTCTCCATTCTGACGAATACCCAAGTTCAAACCTTCTCTGAAGTATCAGCCTCACATTTGATCAGAATCCAGTATGCTTACAACCTAACGAGCTAATTACTGTTCTTGAGAAGAAGAAATCACATCCAAGCATTTAGTACATTGAAAGACAAAGTAGAAATGCGAGTGAATACTAACATAAATTTCTGAGCAGAAAAAATATATCATACCTTTTCACTAGGAAGTCAGAAGGAGGGGCGTAAAATTCAGGAATCAGCTCCTTTAGGTCAGCTGGATTGTTAAGTACACTTTCCCAAGACTCTGCTACACTGACGAAGAGGCGATCAGGAGAATCAAACCTGCCATTCTGCCATCCATCTTTCCCAAATCAACACCACTCCCGAGTACAGTTACCACACGTACGTTGTTCATGGTCTTCTACAAGCCACCGAAGAATACTCACTACTAGAAAGGGTTCACACAACCATGTTATATATACGAAGTGCCTTATGCTGCTATATATTGTGTCAATTTCATCAATTTTACAAAGCAATCATTCTCCCGTCTCGAGTTGAGTGAAACACGGGTTTGTAAGTACATCTCTAAACCCTGAAACATAAATGGAAGGAATGATGAGAATAGAAATGGTCTACAAGCTCTGGATGGCATTCACTTTGCGAAAGATAACTAGCTTAGCTTAGCCAGTTTATGCAAGAAGTGCATCACACCATTTAAGATTATGCCACATATGCTTCACTAAAATTAGGTGTGCAGGCTTCAAACCCCAGATTATTTATTTAATTACATTTGATATGTTAACACAATCAAATACCTGAAGGCGAAGCATGTGAGCGGGAGCAGCTCGAACAAGCCAGTAAAGGACATATCTGATCAAGACATAAAAAAGGTTGCCTCAGCCATTCGTTAGAACTATAAACGTCCTCCCATTATCCTGCGTAAATAACCTACATATCACAAGTATCAACATATCCTCGATAACAACAAAAGCCACAGCTTACCCAGGGGTGGAGTAATGAGTTCCATATAAAAACGGAGCCCTTGAATAGTCTTCTTGCGGCATCTACATTGAGATTAACCACCCCAACCATACATGACAGTTTAGTATGGTCTTCGAAGGAAATTTACCATTCCTGCGTCATAATGAGATCATAAATTTCACAGTGATCTCATTCAAACTAATCGACAACCAAGTAAAAGTTGCTCAAGGGATGTGACGCAATTTTCGATAAGCATACTTGTGAGAAGCGTTCCAGGAAAACATCGAGACGTGTAGGGTTAAGAGCTCCAATAGGCTGTCAACACACGACAGTTGAGATAAGCGCACGATGGCCACATGCTGCAATGTCTACATATACCAGAAAAGACAAGGGCCAGAAAGCAAAAACGACCCAATAACTCGAAGGCTAGGAAAAATAACCACCTTGGATAGGTCACGATACACACTTGGATCTGTGAGATCCAATTTAGAACTTTTATAATCACACAATATCCATGGCATGATTGGCCATTGCGTTAGATCACAGAAGCTACGTCCAGCTGCTAAATTGAGATACATCAAATAGTCGTAATTTGAGACAAGCCTTGCCTGGCAAGAATGCATTCAAACCATCAGAATGGAGGATAAAGTGTAGCAAGTCTAGAGCATTAAAATGTATCTCTTCATAAGTAACTGCGGAAAATGTAACACTTCTAAAATTGCCGCTCACAAATTGATAAATGCAAAGATTGCGAAAAGACTTCCGAGGATATTGCATGATTACCGGTCAACAAACACGGTGCATAAAAGAATAAAATACGAAAGTTGACTGGAGTTCAGTGGAAGCACTGTCATTGGTTGAACCAATCTAAGGAAAGACACAAATTCTGATCGTATATTATTTGACCAAATTCGCTACCTCCGTTTTGCAACAGAAAAAGGGTAGAAAAAAGATCGGACCTGCCAGGCTGCAGTGACTCTGTTAAGCCAGGAACTGTCAGCTTCAAGAAGTGATCCTGCAGCGGCAGCAGCACCTGATTGTCCCTGTTAGCACGGGCCCATCAATACAATCATTTAGGATCCTGGTTGGCATTTCGATTCCAGTGTAAATAATATATTGATTCCACTACTGTACCCTTCACTTTCAGATGTGCAGCCTATGTAAATTAAAATTTATTAGGACACTAGCAAAACATTTGGTGTGTCAGTGATAAGATCATTGGCCGCATCATCTCAGAAGCAGAGAAAAGAAAAGGAAAAAGAAAAGGGAAAAAAGAGTAATAGATAGATGAGCAGAGAACTTGATGTATTCTACGAAGCTTAAATAGAATCTACACAAGAACTTGATGGTGCAACCATAGATGACAATTTATCACTAAACGTTTAGGCAAGCAGCAGATGCTCCATTATAACTCTGATCAGATTTAGGAGTAGAGATGCGGCTGCTACCAGTCCCACAAAACATGGGATCTTCCAGGAGTGAGAATAAGTGTTTACCCCTAATTGTTCGAGCAGCATGGATACAACCTGATCACGTAGATTAGAATCACGAAAGGTGAAAAAAGCACTTGCACCCTCAGCAACTCCACCACCAGGTGCAGCCCCTGACTCAGTAACAATCTTGAAAAATATTTCTAGTCCAATAGGTCGCAGCGAATGCCGCCGACGTGCTACAGCTAAAACTTCGCTGTAAGGTTGTGATCGGACTGGATTGTCATCGTTTAGATTATGCAGTGGCTGCAGTCAAAGTAGTGAAGGGATAACAAACGTTGAGGCAAATTGACAGGCCAATGCTACATCCATAGATGACACAAATGCTAATTATCTCATTATTATCGCTGAGATAAATTCTGAAGTAATTTCTTGGAAGTAAAACTGCATTTCAATCTCGTGTTGCCATCAAGAGTATTTACTTCCTCGTATAATCTGAATACTTCAAAATGTACCTGAAAATAGATACGAGCCTGGGTTAGCACCAGTCGACCTGGTTCTCGAACCAATGGGGTCACCTGGCAAAGACTCAAACCACTGGAGCATCAGAGAAGAAGCTAGCTGTAGGTACAAAAGTCAAGGAAATAAAGTCTGCGTCTTTCCCTATGATTTTCAGATGCGGTCGGAACAATCTGAGATAAAGTGAAGATCGTGAATCAATCGAAACAAGGTTAAAAATGAACGCATTGCAAGGCTTGGTCAGAATAAAAAATTATTAAAAGAGCCCATTTGCCAGTGTTATTTATTTATTTATATTAAGAAAATTCAGCGGAACCAAGCATTATAGGAGGTGGTCCAAACGGATCAACTGAAAGCAAGAAGAGAATAGGAAAAGATTATACCTGAAAGGCTGGAAGATCGAGTAAGACGTACTCACTAAGATCTACTAGGCGACTTTTGTCAAACTGCGCCTTGGCTTCTCTTTGAGCCGCTGCATTTTGTAATACCATATCTCTTTCAGCAAATGGTAATGCATTTATGGATAACAATGACTGCGCTTGATGTAAAAACTGCAGCATGAAACACACAAACTCACTTGGATCAGAATTGGTCGATTCTACCAGACGAATACGATGGACTATCCCCTACAGTCCAAGTAACAGTTTAAGAAAACAACAATGCTGGTCCGAGAAAAGCTGATGCACCTGTTGAACAGGAGCAAACTCCAACGAGAACCACCAGATGCTGCTCTTCTTTTCAAATACATACGGAGCATCAATCCCATCCTCTTTCATTTTTATAACCATGCTGGTGTTCAATACGAAGCCTTCCTGCCGACTCTTCCATTTGCTGGTAGGAGTAGATGTAGTTGGCGAGGGTTCTACGAGTTGCTCAATCTTTGTTATTTTTGAAAAAGGAAACATGAGAATAGGAGCCTTGATATAATCAGGCTCAAAAAATATAGCTCGTGCACATAGCCGTAAGCGACCTTTCAACTTTCTCTGCTGAGAGGGCTGCAAAAGAAATGAACAGCATGAGTACAACGGCACAAAAGTTAGATACCTGAGGTTATTTGCTCGAATGCCGGTTGTCGTACGGACGATCTGAAAAGGAATAAACCAAGAGAGAAAGGACAATCATGATCATCACTTGAAAGTGAAACCAGTTGCAGTCAATCACAAAACCAATCTACTACAGAACGTGAAATTTGTTGGAGTATACCTTCTGTGCACCAGGTCCAACCAATCCAGGTCGACAGGAAGCAATCCAATCTTGAATATATTGATCCCCATCCTCCAAAAGCAGATACGCAAACCGCTTAACAGATTTCCTAGTTTTATCCGTCCACATTTTTGGCCTAGGATATACACTGCTCCAGTTCTGTTCATCAGAATCTGAAACAATCGCCGTTTCGCATTTTAATCGTAGGAGTGCACAACAAAAAAGGTCTTGGTAGCATCATAGACTAGTGACAAAACAAATGACTTTGACCATGTTACTCCACTTCCTGCACAGAAAGTTTCAATCGTGTCTGATTTGGCGGAGACGAATTTATTCACATATTATGGAGAATGTGGATCTAACTAGTTGGATCTTTAAAAATGGCAGCCCCTCCAAGAGATTCAACCCTAGGACGAAAAGCCCTTGAGATAATGCGATCCCATTCTGGGATCCAAAGTTGACGAAGGCACAAGCGGAAGAGCTCTCCAAACTCGGTCGTCTCCGAAAAGACATCGACGGCTGCACAAAAACCTACGCCTAAGAATGACAAATCAACTAAAGTATTTCAGCTGGAACTAACCTGAACAATTAAAACTGCGCTGAGTTTGGATAAAAACATCAAAGTTGCATAAATTGGCTTACAACCAGAAGCATAATAATACAAAACAACTACAGCAATCCACTACGATGCTTCACAAAACGAAGGCCCAAATTCAACATCCACACTGCGAATTCCACTTCAGATTCCACTCCACAAAATCTGAGTCACCTACGAGCGCCTTTACACTGGACATCACTAAATGCGACATCAAATAAAAAAATAAAGGCAACATGAAAGTTCGTCAAACAAATCCGCTGCCTCTCCCAACCAAATCATGCAACTATAATCCACATCCAGCCAGTAGTTGCCGTTCTAACCTCTGCGATCCTCCATACCGAGCCAGTAAACACCAAAGAAAACATTTTAAAAATATTTATGAAATACTAAGAAATCCCGCGATGCAGAGGAAGGAGACGGAGACGGACCGTAAGCTAAGGCTCCATAAAAGCGCGTTGAGAAGCGCCAAATTTGGATGCTCGAAAGCACCAGCAATCTTTGGGCTTCGAGGGACGGAGAGTGGGAGCTATTGTGAGAGTAGGAGCAAGCGTAGAGGTGGATCGTAGTGAAAGAGAGACAGTGGAGGGGACTCAGCAGAAGCTTCGGAGGTTAGGTCTGTAGAACGGGTCTCGGGATCGGGGAACGGGTGAGCGGAAGGGTCCTGCCAGGGAGGGAGGGGGGTGTGCACGAGTCCGTCCGTCTGTCCTGTCAGACAGCCCTCCCAGTCTCCGTCCGGATTCCGTCGTAAACTTCTTCTGCCCGACTTCGCTGCCCAAGTCCACGATCCTCCCTCCCCACAGTCGTCCACATGGCATAGATTGTTAACCATGGCATTATACATGCCAAGGAATAAAACTTGTAAATAGATGACATGTTGAATAAATAGCAACAATAGTGGGAGGTTATTAATGTTAGTAGTTTGATTTATTTGTTTTAATTTTGGAGCCTGAGAATTTTTAAGCATAAATTTCAATCAGCACATATGAGAGATTCATTTTTTACTTCACGAATTCAATTTTAACCTTTATGATAAACTATATTATTATTTTTGTGTGTATAGACATATAGTTATATATATATATATATATATATATATATATATAGAAACCAATCTCTAGATCCTAGCAACTATGCCCACCTTCTTTATTTTCTTCTTGTTTATTTATTTATTTATATTGGTTTCTAGATAATAAGATACATTTGTAAAACACAAATACTTTGTCAATCAATAATAATACCATATTTAATAAATTTTGAATTTTGATCAAACTACATAATAATTCTGAGTTTGATGCCGATTTTGACATTAAAATCCATCCTATATATTATACTTAAAAGTAACTTCCAAGTTATGAAAAAAATTTCAAAAAAAAAAAAAAAAAACAAAAACAAAAACAAAATCTATAAAAAAATTAATTAATTAAAAAACTAAAGTCTGTTTGGATTGAATGTATGAGCTATATTTATTAAAGATTTTTTAATTAGTATTTAAAAAAAAATTATAATTATAAAATTTCAAATTGATAAAGTAAAAGATGTAATATAATTTGACATATTTTTTTTTCTAAAATTTAAAATATTGATGTTAATATCTTTATGTATTTTATAAATAAACTAATTATTCATCATCAAAATTTTAATATGTAATTAAATTTTATGAACATTTTAATATTTAAATAAATATTTTTTTAATATACTAGATTTTTTATAAGCATTTATAATTATTTTTTTACTTTTTCAAATGATAAGTATGATGTTCATTACAATAGTATTAAAGATAAGAACTTGATGAATGTAAATAATCAAGTAAGATGTTTTTCAAAGAGAAATGACAAAAAAGAAATAAGGGGATATGTGTATTTAAGAAGAAATTGGAATGGCTTTTTCCAAAGACTATAAAATTAAGAACTCTTGAAACTATACTAGAATTAAGAAAAGAATTGAAAAGAATAATGAAGGCCTCACTCTTACTTCTATGTATACTATCTAATTAAGAACTAAGTAATAGCATTTTATACAACTTCTAATAGGTATCCAACTTATAAGACAAGTTTTTAATTTCCCATGCATGTTTCTTATATGTGTGCCACATGTCCAACTTGTACCACAAGTAGCCAATAAGTGCAATACATGGCCAACTTGTTAGCCAAGTTATTAACGTACTAATCACCTATAAATATATATTAAAAAAATCACATCTATAAAGTTTTTAAGAAGCTTTTTTACTAGATATTATTTATTTTATTTTATTTTATTAACTTTAAAATGTATATATTATTTTAATAATTATTAAAATAAATATTTTTTTCGGGATAATATTCCACTTTCTATAGACAAGTTCTATAAGTAGTAGCAATTACATATTGAAGAAGTTCAAGATGCAATGAATTGTATTTGTTGCATATTCTAAATTTTATTTTCTTTAGAAGTAGTTGATAGGTCTTCTCAGCCATTGATAGTATTCCATACTATAGCAAAAATACTACATATATATTAAATTATTTTTGAAAATTTTATAACATTATTCAAATAAAAAATTTTAAATATTATTTAGAGTAGTTTTTATTTCTAATAACATCACCAAATATTGAAAGTATCTTCTAAAGTTATAATATCAAACGTGTTGTAGCTTGCTATCTACTTGAAAAAAAATATGTTATTTTAAAGGATCTTCATTTCTATTACGTTATCTTAAAAATTGTGATAATTACAATGTCTTATCCAATAACTCAACAAACAATAGCTCTTGAGTCGAATATGTTGGTTGTTGATTTTTCATCTCTTTATTACCATAAATACAAAAAAAAACTACAAATAAAGATAGAAGATAAAATGCAATATTTATTGAATTTGCTTTGCTTAATAGCAAGGATTTTTTTGACTCTTTATCTTTATTTTGATAGATGTTGTTGATAAAAAGCATTAACCTTCTCTTTTGCATGTCCAAGATTCTTAGATGGCTCCAATGTGTATTTATTAATATCATATCTATGCCAATGTAGAAGATATTTCAATCTATTTTGGTGCCATCTTGAATCTAAGACTTCTTCTATCTCAAATTCTTGATTGTTATCCACTTCTATAGGAAGATGTGATATTTGTTATCTTTTCAAAATATTTATTGTCTTATATGGTTTAAAAAGAGATATATGGAATACAAGATAGATCTTCAAAGATGTGAATAAATATAATTAACATAAAATTATATTTTTTTATTCACAAATAAAAAAATCCAAGTCTATAATAATCTAACTTGTAATAAAGATAATTATTTATTATATTACAATAAAGCAATCATATTTTATTGCTAACCTAGAATTAAGGTTGTTTCTTGTGATATATATTTACATTGATTCTAATAAAATCTTAAATAAATCCTTAATAAATCCTAATTAAATTCTTATAGTTGTTTTGAAATCTCAATAATTACTAATTAAATTATTTATTTTTTTAAAAAAAAGAAATAAACAAGTGTAAAAAGCTTGAAAAAAAAATAAAACTTATTGATTGAATAAAAGAGCTTCAAATACTCTTAGATATTGGCCATCCTCCTTTTTTGACCTAAATGTTGATCTTTTAACAACATTTACTCTTTTTTGAACAATTTAATTGTTTTATAAATTATCAAAAGTCTAAAAACATATACTCACTTTATTTTCATAAAATCTTGCTTCAATTAAATTAATAGATATCTCAAAGTGACAAAAATCTCACTGATCTTAAAATTCAAATATTTGAGATTTTAATCCAATTATATTTTTATATTCTTTATTCTAATTTTTTAATTGATTTCATTGAATAAATACAATAAGTAAGATACAAGTAAGCAGAAATCAAAATTATTACACTTAAGAAAAGTATAGAATGATATACATTTCACTTTTGACATTCTTTACTTGTAGAAAAAATTTACATTTATTATACTTGAACTTCATCAATGATCATCTTCATCTTTCTTTTCTTCATCCAACAAAATCTTAAATTCTTGTTAATCTAGTTGCCACCTAAAATTATAGTTATTATATTAGTACCTTACCTTCACTATTTAAATATTAGTAACTTACTTAAATTAATATCTTTTATATAATATCTTATTATTATTTTAACAATTCTACTTTATTATTAATTAAAGGCTTTTAAACCTAATGCCTTTGTCAACTTCTAATTTCTATCCTTCAATAGTACTTTTGTTAGCAAATCAATAAGCATGTCTTACATTGCACAATACTCTATGTCAATTACTCCCACTTCAATCTTCTCTCTTATGTAGTAATATTGAATGTTAATATCTTTAGTTCTTGAATAATGCTTTGAATTTTTTATAAAAGTAAGACATCCTTAATTATCATATTTCATTGGAATTACTTCTAATTGTATAAGTTCAATGTCTTATAAACTTATCTTAGCCAAATTGCCTCGATTATATCATTACTTGCTACAATGGATTCTACTTCTATTGTAGACCTTGCAATTGTTGGTTGTTTCTTGTAATTCCATGAAATAATTCCTATTCCAATAAAGAACATATATTTTATTATTGACTTTCTATCATTTATATCTCCAATCGAATTTACATCACAATAATCATAAGATGTAATATTATCTCTTCTAAGATATAATTTAAAGTTCAAACTACCTTTCAAGTACCTCATAATTTTCTTGATGGTTGCCCAATTAATTTATCTAGTCTTTCATATGTGTTGATCCATAACACTTGTCACATATACAAGATCCATTTTTGTATCAACTATTGCATATATAAGTGAGTCTATTGTTGTTTTATATGGAACATCTTTTATTTTATCTTCAACTTCAGCAAATTCTTCATTTATGAGCTTCATCAACTTTGAATTGGCCTTCAAAGATATTCCAATAGGCTTGCATTAATCCATATTAATTTTTTTCAATACTTCTTTACTATACTTACTTTGGTTTATTGTAATGGTCTTGTTACCATGATCTTTTATAAATTCTATTTCTAAATAATAATGGAGTTTTTTTAAATCATTCATTTCATATTTATTTTTTAAAATTTTTCCTTCAATCAATCCATCTTCTTCATAGTATTAGTCAATATGATTAAATAATCAACATAAAGGATGATAATTAATATAAACGCATTTAATTGCATTACATATAACAAATGATCAACCTCACTCTTTACAAATCCTTCATTTATAAAAGATGTGTCAATACGTTGGTACCATATCCTTGGTGATTGTTTTAGTTTATACAAGGATTTCTTCAATTTACAAATAAGGTGTTGTTTGTCTTTTTCAATAAATCCTTGAAATTCATCCATGTAGATGTCTTCTTTCAACTTTTTATTTAAAAAAGCTATTTTCACATCCATTTGATGCATTTCAAAGTTCATTACTGCCTCAATTGCTACAATGGTTCTAATAGTGGTGAATTTGGCCATAGAAGCAAATATGAAATATGACGAGTTTATCTTAAGAGTCTAATACTCTTCTAATTTATAGCAATATAAAATTCTATCATAAAGTATGATAAAATGGATCAAAACAAAATTAAATAGAATTAAAC